AGACAAATGCACACAAGTGTTGATCAACAAAGTGACTGGAAACAAATTAGTCGATGCAGTGTACTCAAAGTCGCTCTGGGCGATGTTAGGTGATGATGTGCAACTTTTGAGATCGCAGCTGCAGACCTCATGAAGTGAGGACAGATACCTCAGATCTAATGAGTCCTATAGGATCTGTAAATACGTAAACTGAGCCTAAGAATTCTGTTCTCAGATACCAAATGAGCCACGTCCTACTCTCACTGACAGCACTACAACCTGTGACCTCCACAGAAACTCCTCAGAACGTTTACAGACATCAGCATATTCTGCTGAATGAATGATACACCTGGTCTCACAAAGCCTGGGAAATGACTACGAGCAATTAGAAGTGAGGACAAAGTGAAACAATCGGGATTGTGCATAAATTCCTCAAAGACACTTGAAAGCCGAATTCCACAACTGATCGACTGCGGGTGAGTTGTGTGAAAGCCTGAAGTGAGTGCTCGCATAAACAAAGTCTTTCTGCTGTCAAGGTTGACAAGATTGCTGTGAACAGACCAACAAGCATCAGTATGATCACTTCTGATAGAGTGAGGGAAAGGTACATCGGTGCTCAAAAGACTTTCGGTCATTCATAATCTAAATAATTCAGAGGCAACTGGCCCTTTATGCTTCCCTGATTAAAAACGGGAGAATAAAAATGTCAATTGAAAATGCTGGAAAAGGTCGTGTCCTTATGCAGAGCGGCTAATATACAGGATCGCACGCGTACCGTTCAGAAGGCCAGATTACAGAGAGTGAGGAGGCATTCGAGGAAGCAGAGGACGAATAGTAAGTTTAAGAGGGCAGAAACATAGAGCGGATTTACAGCTAGTGAGGGGGAGCACCAGGAGGTTTAAGAGCCCAGGTGGGGAGCGTTACAATGCCTTCTCTTAATTGTGTTTAATGCCCAGTGAAGGGAGCTCGTCCAAGTGTGTCGCTCTCTTAAGTGACTGTGGAACCACCCAACCCCCCGCTCAATCTGTCTGATCTGAGCCTACCGAGAGCACGGTGTAATCTGTCCTGTTTCTACTACGACTACAATGACAACAGCAACATGCTGTCGTCAGACCTTTGTGTAGGTGCCTCTAGTAAAAGCTCTGATCTGTGTTATCTGACCTTCGCGTGTACTTCTGAGCTTGACATTGAGTGCCTCTGCTGAGCTCCTTATCTTCTTTTAATTGTGGGGCAGGCATGTTTTGATATGCCATCTGCAGGGAAGGATCAACGAATCCCAAAATACTAGAGAAGCTTTTAAATATTCATAGAGAGGCCTTATTATAAAGGCAGTCATTGGTATTATATCAATGAGGAGTTAATTCCCCTATCTGTGAAAAAAAATCCAATAACCTGAATTTGCCTGTGATGTGGCAAAATTGCTGCACTCACACTGTGGATACTTTCTGACAGTCTCCTATAATGTCCTTGAACATACACAATTGAACTTGAACACAATAACCAGCAATATTGTTTGTGAGGTCTGAGATATGAACCTGACGTATACCTGCAGATAGGGATGCACCGATAACAATACTGGTATCGGTGCATCGGTCACACCGATGAGATATCGGTCATATCTCAGCATATACCGATACCGGTATCGATATTGGTACCGATACCGGATATTGGTATCGGTATCGGTGCCAATACTGTAAAATGTGTGTGTACTCATACTCGTAAAAGTTAACCGATACCATGAACCGATACTAACTTATTTCATTAATCAGAGGCTGGCTTGTCATTTTTGTTGTAGTTTTTTAGATTGGCCACTAGGGGGACATCCCGCGCTAAACAGGCACAGGGTTAGGCGAGTGAGACTGGCAGCTCCAGATAAAAAAAGAGAAACTGGAGGCTGCTGTAGCTAGGCTAAACAAAATGTCAGCAGTGTGGACCGGAACAGCCAACTTTAACTCAGGTTTTGGCAAAGCGATGAAAAATGTCAAGAGAAAATCCACGGGCAGTTAAAATAACAGAGGCTCTGACTCATTTTATCGCTCTGGATGACCAGCCAATGCCAGTCGTGGAAAATATAGGATTCTTCTCAGCATACTCGAGCTGCGATATGAAATTCCCAGCCACCCACACATCAGGGAGATAATGGTGCCAAAACTTTCTAAAGAGGTAAAGACAAGCAGTGTGTGTGCGATGTCAGTTCTTGGTTTAACGGCACAGTGGACTGATGATCCACGGGCAGATGGAAGGTTCGTTTGTCAATGCCGAATACTTTCGTTATTTTGTTTGTTTGTTTACAATATGGACACTCTGCACTCTGTGTGTGTGTGTGTGGTAGAAGTATCGGTTTTTGTACTCTGTATCGACAAGTACTCAGATCCAAGTATCGGTTTGAAAAAATTGGTATCGTTGCATCCCTACCTGCAGATATAAAAAACAAGTACAGATGCTCAGGGCAATTTCAATATCTCCTGAACCCATGCATGCAATTATGCAGCCCATCATTAAGCAGCTGATGGTGACACACAACAGCCTGTCCACTACGTAACTTTTAACAATCTTCGGCGAGGAGCCGACTTTTTTATTGCTACAATTTTTCGAAGTCGTTCTTGTTTAGATAATAGAAAACACTGTCAAAACAAATCAGCTGTTTTGCCTGGATGATGTTCTGCTTTGTGTTGCTCCCACCGTATAAGCGCTGCACAAGAGACGCTCCCCCCTTTTTATCAACCTTAAGGTTGCTTTCATATTTGAGGCTGAGGGGAAGATATCTTCCAGCTGTGATAATGAAAAAATAAAATAGTTGCAGCCTGGAATACAAAGCCAGCTGCTCTAAACAGTGGATTGACTTCAGAAAGCGAACAGCACTTAAACCAGGAGGGAGGAGCGCATGTAATTGTGCTTGGTATGGAGCCATTCTTTAAAAATCAATGGTAGTGTAAGAGTGAGCTGAGAGAATATGGCGTTTGACCTTTTCCTACGTGTTGGACAATATTGTGAGAGCACCTTGTTGGAAAGACGTCTGGAGTTCAGCGTCTAAATGTCATTTGTGGAAGAAGTGACAAAAAAAAAACCCAGTAGAGAGGTGCACAGAGCATAGGGCGCCATTAACTTTCTGCTGGAGGATACAGGCACACGTGTGATGCGACTGCCTAGCTAGATGAATGGGACTCTACTGCTGGGGGCCTTATAACAAGCTCAGGGTGAAAATAATTGCAATAATACTGTGAGAAGCAACTGTGAGGCAACTTTCCAAACAGGAAGTTGATGTGACAGAGGTCAACCAGGAGGTCTGCAGAAGACGGATAGAGTATTAAATCCAGAGAGATTGCGAGCTGTGTATAAGGTAAAAAGAGACCAAGCCTTGAGGGAGGGAGAGGAGAAGAAGAAAATAAGGCCGACCCTTCATCTGAGCGGCTGGCTTGGAGAATTATCAGCTGCTGCCGTGACACGGGACCCCACTAAGAGGGAATGGGGTGTAAGTGTGTGCGAGGGACACTGGAGGACCTTTTCACACAACGATCCCTGTGAGAGGTCGCGTCCTGTCATAAA